AACTTAACCAAATCTTTAATGAACAGCCATTATCGTCAGAGAGAGATTGCCTCAAAGCAGTACAGACAAATCACAGAACTTATGCAACAACTCCCGTCGTCAGAGAGAGAGAAGAAGACTCCTTTTCTTCAAAAGTTGCCTAAAAAGGTGAAAGGGGGGGCTGGGAAGGGAGAAAGTATCTCAAGACTGTTCCAAAAAGAAAAAATGTAAAGGGGGAGAAATTGGCAAATTTGAGGGCACAAATCTACGATCAGAGATCACACACTATGTTGCTCCAAAACCAAACCACTGACTATATGGAGATGAATTAAGTCAACCGTATAGAAAATGTCTTAAAGAAATATTATAGATGGCATTTCAAAACTGGGAAAAGAAAAAAAAAATGAAGAAAAGGTGGCAAGAGGATAATTCTGGTTGATATCCATGAATTTTAGAAATTATGATGAATAATAGTGGATGTTTTGTTTGTGAGGCAGCCATATTGAGACATTAAATATGTGTGATTATAATAGTGACAATGCTGACAAGATTAGAGAGGCCAATCCTGGTTTGATAACACTGGAGTTGATAAATAAAAATGAAAAAGGAGGAAGTTACTTGCTGAACAAATAATAGAAATCAATTGGTTTAAGATACATATGATTAACATATAAAGCAACATGACTAATATACTATAACCAAACTTGGCCAGATATGAAATTTAATGCTAGATAAGCATATGTGATTCATGAACTTTAGAAATGATGATGAAAAATAATATTGGATGTTTTGTTTGTGAGGCATGTATATTGAAATACCAAATATGTGTGAATTATAAGAGTGATTATGTTGATAAGATTAGACATATACTTTTCTGTTTATAAGAATGGAGATTTTTGAGGAATGAACAGGCCTGTGTGGATATTATGGGTGGATAAGTAATCTTAAAGAGGAAATGAGGAATGTTTATGATGAGATTTAGATGGATGGAAATGCAGATAAGAGAATTTATAAAATTTAATATAAACTTAGGATGTTAGATACCTAATTAGATATATAAAATAGGGATGTGAAGGGATGTTAGATACCTAATTAGATATACAAAATAGGGATGTGAAGTATAACATATGTAGATGCACACGGATATATTATTCCTGTAGTCAGAAATTATGTAATAGATAAGCTGGTATGAGAAATACCTCCCTGCTTGTATGTTCTGTTAGTCCTGTATGTTTTGTTAGTCTTATGTGTTATTGTTTTGTAGGTTTTTGTTTGTCTTGTAGGTAAGTATGGTTTAAAAAATAACAAAATGTTTAAAAAAAGAAATGGAAATTACAACAAAAATTTAAATTGAGGGAGCTAGCTATGAAAAACCAATTAGAAATTGAGAGAGAAAAAGCCAAAGCTGAGCAAGAGGCCAGACAAATGGCATTTGAGCAAGAAAATAGACAAAGAGAAATGGAATTAAGACAAAGAGAAATGGAATTTCAAATACAAATGAAACAATTAGAATTAACTGCTCAGAATAACAATAACAACTCTAGTGAGGGAAATCTGTCAGAAATTGTCCTAAAGAAATTTCCACAATATAGGAAAGGAGATTTCCCTGAATCTTTCCTCATTTCATTTGAGAGGGCATGTTGGGACTTTGATATCAAGGATGATGAAAGGATGATAGTTTTGAGATCACAAATAAGTGGAGATTTAGCGGAACAGAATTCTCAGATGCCTCTTGAGCAGGCTAGAGATTTTGAAGCATATAGAAAGATGGTATATTCAAGATTTGGTATAAATGCAGAACACCTTAGAAGGAAATTTTGTTCCCTTACCTGAAAAATCTTATTCCCAGATAGGGGCTAAACTGCTTCAATGTTTGGACTAATGGATGGAACGTGAAAATGTCAGTATATGTATAAGGCAAAGGTTCCCCTTGACGTTTTAGTCCAGTCGTCTCCGACTCTAGGAGGCGGTGCTCATCCCCGTTTCCATAGACCCAGCATTTGTCCATAGACAGTTTTTGTGGTCACGTGGCCAGTGCGACTAGACACGGAACATTGTTACCTTTCCACCGTGGTGGTACCTATTATCTACTTGCATCTGCATGCTTTCGAACGGTTAGATTGGCAGAAGCTGGGACAAGCGAGAGGAGTTCATTCCGTCACATGGATTCGATCTTACGACTGCTAGTCTTCTGACCTTGCAGCACAGAGGCTTCTGCGGGTTAACCCGCAAGTGCCACCACATCCCTTATATATGTATAGAGTTTGCTATTATTAGTTTTCAGTATTCACAGAGGGGGCTTGGAACCAATTCCCAGTGGATATGAGAGTCCTCATTGGAGTGAAGGTTGGGGAGATGGAAGGGAGGCAATGCCCCCTTTCCCCTACCAGAGCCCTGCTGGGGGTGTGCTGCCTTGTGGGGTGGACCCTATGAAGTTGACATAGCCATCTTTGCCGCTTTTTCTCACAGCCATTATTCAGTTGGCTGCGGTTGCTTTTCTTTAATTATTGTTATTGATTAAACAAAGTGGCATTTGGAAAGAGCAATGCATCAATCTAGTATGGTATTAGAATTGAGCTGCATCAGGGAAATATTTTAAAAAGAGACAAAAACAGAGGAGATGGTTTATCCATCCTCCCTTTTAATATCACAACTAACTTACCTGGAAGTTGAGTCATGGTAACTGGACTTTTTTCTTAGAGTTAGTTCCCATGACTCAACTTCCAGATAACCTCACCTGGATAACAGAATCTTCACAGACACAACTAACTTATTACATCACAGGGTTTCACCTCTGGTTAAGGTTCCTCACAGCTCCATTTGGAGTCAAACTAACCACACAGGGTGCACAATGAGATCATTCTTAAAGGGACAGGATGGGTCAACCTTAACCACACAGGGTGCACAATGAGATCATTAGGATCATGTTGAACCAAGAATAATACATGCCCTAATGCTGTGCAAGAAAGGTGTACAACAGTTCTTAAAGGGACAGGATGGGTCAACCCGAATAGAAACATCTGTGGTCACCATCATTTGCTTCTAACAAAACCATACCAACAGTAATCCATGTACCAGTCTACATGCCAGTCTGCACAGGCCCAATGACTCCCACAAACTACTTAGCACTAAAATATTCATGTTGGCAGGGGGATTTGGGAAGCAGTGCTCCAAAAATTCCTAAAAACAAGTACAAAAAGAGCAAAAACTTTGATGTCAAAACTAGTTTGTGCACATATATGAATATTCTGTTTTTTAAAAGGATATTAAGAATAGATTTACACAGGTCTTCTGAGGTTCTGTAGCCCCCATAACGACTTGGAGCCTGCATTTGAGACATTTCCAGATATGAATTATGTACCTGATCTTACAGGAATTATAAATGGATTGGGGTTGTATGTTGACACCTTACAAGCATATAAGTTTATTTTATATGGTAAAACAATAAAATAGATACATTAATAATTAATACATATTAAATAACATTCTTGTCAAAGGAAAACACCTGTCATTTCTAGTAAATGATATATCGAAGATCTCTCTGTTCTAATTTTGACTGTTCACGGAAGTTGTGGTTTGCAGTATTGCACACATCTAACACTGGTGAGTTGGGGGTGGGGAAGCCACTGAAAATATTGTATTTAACAGCTACTGCTCTTCCTGTTGGGTGGCATAGAGGTTTGAAGTACATTTTAATGAACACAGCTTGTTCTTTTCTCACAGTGAACTGCCTCCTCCCAGATCATTAAGGCACTTAGAGCTTCTTTGTGATTGAAATTACATTAATGGCAGTTAACTTTTGATACACAAGGTTGTAGGATGATATAGTGATGTGTCCAGAGGTACTCGGTCAAAATTGGTGCCAGGAAAAAAAACATGGGAAGATGATATAAAAATTTCTCCAGTTATATGAATCATGGTGCATCTCTTTCTTCTGTAGGAGGAAAAGGTAAGTTAATATTTCCTACTAGAGGGACTTTTTTTCATACATTGGTACATAGATGTTTGTGAGGCAAGTGCTGTACTCATGTTTGTTATAACTGTGTTCCTAGCAGAATGAGAACATATTGTTCTTCAGGGTTTCGTGAATTAGCAATCAAACATTTTATTTCAGATAGTAGACATTTCTATTCAAAGGTAGCATAGGTTTAAAACACTGGGAACCTTGTTAATGGATTCTAAAAATACAAAAATACCAGTTATTTCCAATAAGGGAAGCAACTTTCCTTCCTTCTATTTCATTTTTAATTAGATAGTACACTGTCACCATAATTGTTCAAGATTCATAGTTCTCATGATTGTTGATACGATAAAGCATTCTAGTTGCATTGATTTTACGTCTTTCTAACATGCCTTTATATGTCATTTAGAGTTGTTGTGACACAATATAGTTGCTACAGTTATGTGTTGTGAACCAGGAGGTTCCTATTCAATGTTGCTTTAGCTACAAACTTGATATTTAAGATCAATTTTAGGAGAGGATGATCTGTCAGATCATGGCTTAGCTTGACAGAATTCCGATTTATATTACTCAGATATATCTGTGGAACATTTTGACCAATTGACATAACCGGTATCCTATAGCTAGTCCCAACAAAGAAGTAGATTTATTGGATCAGTTGCTGAATACTAAGTCAAGACTTACATAAGTCTTGTTGAATCATTGGAAAAATGAGAGTTTATAGCAGCAATAGGATATAGGCCCATGTTTTAAGACCTTCTGTGATGTTGCCCAGGTAATGTCAGTTTCTGTTGCTTTTATTGTTAAATAAAGGCCAATTACATTAAATTTCACTAACTAATGGCGATAGAGCATATACAGCTGCACTGTACTATAGAATCCTGGGAGACAAGTGCATGTAGCAAGTAACTGGAAAACTGTTACAAGAATTTCTGTCTAAATTAGAGCAATATGCCAAGCTAAAAAACTGTTTAAGATATACATGCTAGTGTTACCTGTACCTTAAGAGAAAAATGAACAGACACAATATTAGAAATTGAGCTTCAGACTTTGAAGTGATTCCTTGGTCTTTCTGAACAAAAGCTAGTCAATATAGGTTACCTTTTCTCCAGTTGGAATAGTGTTTGAAGTAGTACTATTGTGCTGTAATTGGGGTAGAAAAATTGTGGCCATCTATATATTGAACTGCATGTTTCACTATCCCTCACTGTTAGTTCTACTAGTTAGGGCTGATGGCTGGTTTTTCCCAATAGCACCTGCAGGGCCACAGTCTACCCAGTCCTGTGGTAAGTCATAATAAGCGGATGGACCAAGTATGCTGGCCAGTTCTGCCTATTTTCCGTTGTTTTGATACAGCATTTTTTAATAAATACTAGGTGAAAATATTTATGTAGCTTTTTCTAGCAGAAAAAATGTTCACTGAATTATAAAACAAAAAATTCTTCTGGTGATGAAGATCAAGAGTATTTATTTCTCCATTAAAAGGAAGAATATTTATACAGTATGTGCAAATAATGCATTCTCAATTTAAATCTGAATTTCTAACTTCCAAAGGTGACAATTTCTCTGTTGTTGCACAGTGTGAAAAGAATAGTGAGTTATGCATTATGCAACGCCCCTTCCTTCCTCTGTACTATACATAAACTCTTAACGTTGGAAGGCTCATATCTCTTTTATCTGAGCCATCTCCTTCAATACCTATGAGTACATTTCGCAGCAGATTCTTCGTAACTTCTAGTTAGAGGCTTTTGAAAATTGTTGGATAGGTAGTTGGTGACCCTTTCCAGGATTTTCCAGGTAGAGAATACACTGAAGTGGTTTATCATTCCCTTCTTCTGGGGGCATCCTGGGACTGTGCAGCTTGCCCATGGCCACACAGGCTTGGAAGCATAGTGGGGAATTTAATTCCCAGCCTCTGCCTAAACCACTGAGCTATCCAGGCACCTTCAGATTACATGCCATTTTAATTAACTGGCATGGAGACAGAACCTTTGGTGCCACACAGGCTTGGAAGCATAGTGGGGAATTTAATTCCCAGCCTCTGCCTAAACCACTGAGCTATCCAGGCACCTTCAGATTACATGCCATTTTAATTAACTGGCATGGAGACAGAAACTTTGGTTAGAACTGCAGTGACTTATCTATCTATCTATCTATCTATCTATCTATCTATCTATCTATCTATCTATCTATCTATCTATCTATCTATCTATCTATCTATCTATTTTAAACTTATATACCACCCATCTAGAACGTATCTACTCTGGGCAGTTTACATTAAAAACCCACATTCTTGTGTCTCCTCTGACAATTGTTGGTAGGGAAGCTTGCCCTACATTTTGTAGAACTCTAGATAGAGAGTTAAACAGATCTGTCTGCTCGATGTACTCTGCGATGTACTTTACTTTCACTAAAATACAATTTACTTTTAATCTTCTTTTTCTAGCTTTATCTCCCTTTCCCCAAATACTGATGCTTTTATTAAAATGCGCTAAGTTTTTCACTGTGTCATTTATACATCAATAGAGATGTGACTTTTCCTGTTCCTTGGTGTTTTATGCACAGGGCTAACCCGTGAGCTGCTCTCAGTGTGTCATGCCAGAAAGAAAATGACATTGTTTGGATTGGTGTGGGAAGTGTGTTGTCGATGATAACCACATTGTTTTGGGAAAAACCTTTTTATCTACCTCTGCAGACACAATTCTGATGACAAGGCCATTACCTATTAAGGCCTATAAATAATTGGTTGTTTTGGTTTTTTTTTTAAAAAAGACTCTGGAGCATCTATCTTATACATGACACTCGTTTTACATGCCTCACTTCAACAGAATAAGATGAACATCAGTGAGTAAGCAGAAAGATAGTATTGCAGTTAAAATGCTTTCATTTTTCCATTTGGGTAGGAGGCAATCTGTGAATTTTATGCCATCTTGATACTTGATAATTTTATTCTCTTCCTCCTCTCATTATTTCCCCTAATTTACATAAAGAAAAATGGCCTGTACATAAATCTTTATAATATTTTGGTTTTCTCTTTTTAGCACCAGGGTAAGTTAACACTGTGATGGGTAGTGGTGCTTATCACATTAAAATACTGTAAGTCCATATGATGAACAATCATATTTCTTACTTCAGCTATGGCCCAATGACTTCATCAACTGCATGTCAGCACAATATACTGTATGTTTATCAGGACAAAAAAAGAAAAAGAAAAATATTTTAAAAAGAAGACAAAAACATTGTGGCATCTTGAAGACTATTTTAATATGAACTTTCATGAACAAGTCCACTTCCTCATATAACTTCCATGAAAGCTCACATTAAAATACAGCAGTTAGTCTTTAGTGTGCCACATATTTTTTAATTCATTTTAAATTTTTCTCTCTTTTTTTGCCTGATATGCTAGCACAGACTAAAATGGTTACCTCTTCTAAAATTAGCAATATATGTTTATTTTTAAATTGAAATGGAAACTGTCACTGTACTAAAAGTTAAAAGAAGTGAAATGAAGTTGATAATTTTTACTTTTTTCTGTAGGTCTTGAGAAATAACATCTGTTAATATGACATTCATAAACATAAAGCGAGGTAAGTGAAATTTCTCCCTTTTTCTCTTGCTGTTTCTTAGTTTGACACACACCTCAATGTATTAATCTAGACCAAACTTCTATCATTTTATCAGTTTGAGTGCTATCTGGAACAGAGTGAAAGCCCAAGGTCTTCCTGTTTCCAGATGACACTAGATTAACTAACTGCAACCCAACGAAACATCACAGGCTCATCAGCTGTGATTAACAGCTGATGACACTTTGAAAATAATGGTTTAAGTTGGAAAGGATTATTTTCATCTTTCTTCAGAGGTATGAAACAATACAACTGTATCTGTAAAGCAAAAAAGGACACAGGAAGTTGAAGAGACACAGCTCTTTTGACCGTTGAATCCTGTTTGTGGCTTAATTTGATCCATAGAAGATCAAGATCGGCTTTTAAAAAAATCGCATGACATAGGAAACAAAATGTCCCAGGCACCAGACCTCAACGTACTTAAGGGGTTGGAGAGAGAGGTTATTTTAGATGTTCTGTACCGTGACCAGATGTTGAGAAAGGTGGATGAAGAAAGAGTAAGGTATGTTCCAGTTATCTGATGTGATTATTTATTCTTGTTTCTGTTTGCTTTGATTTTTGTCATCCAGTGTTTTCCCAGTATTCTTCTCATCTCTTTAGCTGAATCATTCCAATGATGAAATTCTGGGTGAAAAAGTTTGTAGGAAAACACCTATTTAATATAATGGGGCCATGATAATTCTTACAAAACACACAGCTCAAATCTTCTCATTGTGCTAATAATTTATTTTGAACTTGCTTGACAAATATCCTATTAGTCCTAACTAGAGTAGACCAGTAGTAGACCCATTGACTTACCATTCAGGTGGGTCAACAGTTTGCTTTAGTTATAATTAGCAATAGGATATACTGTAAGCACTGATAATTCAGTGGACTACCTGGCTTTGAGTCAGGAGTTGGGAGTTTGATTCCCCAACTGTGCCTCCCAGGAGACAAGCCAGCTTATATAGCCTTGTGCAAGCTGCACTCCCAGAAGAAGGGAGAGATAAACTACTTATAAGTACTTCATGCCTAGAAAAACCTAGCAAGCATTGCAGTAAGTTGGAATCAACTTAACAGCACATAATTATCAGGAATACTAAGGCCAAACTAGATGCTAAAGTCAGTGCATATTCTCTAAGATTAACCATTTTCCCTCCCACAGTGAGACTTCCTCAGATACAGTACATCAGGAAACAGATTTGCCAGTTAAACCCTTGTCTACCTTCCAATAATGACCAATCGTAAAACAAAACACACTAATTACAAAATACATAGGTGATGAAAACACAACAAACAGACATATAAAACAGACATATCATAAATTGATGGAATAGCTCTTCCAGAAAAACATGCTAAACATGCCACCTATGTGGACTTGCAGTAGGATGATTCAGAAACTTTATGAAGAAATAAAAAAGTTCTGTAGATGAGGGGCAAGGAAGTAAGCCCCAGTTCCTAGGGTCAAACAGTTACTTCAGCATAACATGCCATTGTGTTCATGCTATTGAAAAAGAAATTGTAAATTTGTGTGTTTATTTATTTCCTCTATTCCTAGCCAGCTTTTAGTTTAAGTATTTCCCCTCAAAGTGGCTTATAATATGAGAATAATTTTTTTTCAGAAAAATCCATGACATTAAATAATTTCTTTAGCGTAATGCTAACTATTAAATACCATGATCAAGACTTTTTTAATGTTATTATCTAAAAGCCAGTGGAATTAAAGCTAAAATACTACATAAAATATTTAAAAACATTCTTGACCAAAGGCTGTGAAGTTGTAAAAGGTTCACTTAAAGGGTAACAGGAAATTGGGTCCATCCTAAAGAGGGAATCTGATAAGTACCACTGTGGAGAAGACAGTATCTAATGCCCAACAGTCTGGTTGTTATTGGTGGGCAAAAAAAACCCAGGGTCTCTTCAGTAAATCTATCTGTAGTACAAATGCAGTTGAAGTTTGATTTATTTGGTAACATCGTTCAGTGGAGACATTTAGTAGAAGAGTTGGCCTCTACTGACTGCTCCATTTGTAATGCATTACTAAGGAAAGTCCTTCCATGCAGCTGTTTTGAAACTGCTATGTTACAGGTTACAGGTATCCCGGAAGCATTTATTTGTTTATTTTCAAAATCACCTATATGAAAATATGTACGTATTTTAATTTTTTTTCCCTGGATGATAACAGGAAATTGAAAATGCAGCTTCAGCAACTTTGGCGGAAAAAGGAAAAAAGCACCAACCATGACTATCAGGAGAGGTCTTGTGCCCGCTGTCAGAAGTCTCTCGGAATGCTGCTCAACAGAGGGGCGGTGTGCAACGGGTGCAGTCATCAAGTATGCTCTGGATGTCGTGTTGCTCTGAAACCCTACCTGTGGATGTGCACTGTCTGCTATGCTCTAGAGTAAGCATTTTTCCGGACATTGCTCAAACAGAGTTGAGTCATTTGTTGATAGCTTTCTAAAACAAATCAAGGTGATTTTAAAAATCATTTTGTGAGATGCCTCAAGTCCCAGTTTCTGGGGAATCAAATAAATAAATAACAATAGAAATAATAATAACTGTAGGGTGAGATGCATCAAGAGGCTGATGTGGGAGGAAAGGATTAACCTCTCTTCAGGTAAAGGTAAAGGTTCCCCTTGACAATTTTTGTCCAGTCGTGTCCGACTCTAGGGGGCGGCGCTCATCCCGCTCTTCAAGCCATAGAGCCAACGTTTGTCCGAAGAAAATCTTCCGTGGTCACATGGCCAGTGTGATTTAGACACGGAACGCTGTTTACCTTCCCACCGAGATGGTACCTATTTATCTACTCGCATTTGCATGCTTTCGAATCGCTAGGTTGGCGGGAGCTGGGACAAGCAATGGGCGCTCACTCCGTCGCGTGGATTCGATCTTACGACTGCTTGGTCTTCTGACCCTGCAGTACAGGCTTCTGCGGTTTAGCCCACAGCGCCACCACGTCCCTTCAAACCTCTCTTCACTAAACACTAAAACCATGAGGAGGACTGCATTTAGTAAAAAGAGGGCATAAGGTCAAGTCACAGCTGTTCCATATCCTGTGTGATAGCTCTCACAGTAGCTGTTACCTTACACTACTGCTTTAGACTGCAGGTAGAGGCTCACCAAAGGAACGTGGTGGTATTATGGGTTAAACTGCAGAAGCCTCTGTGTTGCAGGGTCAGAAGACCAGCAGTCATAAGATTGAATCCACACGACGCAGTGAGCTCCTGTCTCTCGTCCCAGCTCCTGCCGACCTAGCAATTCAAAAGCATGTAAATGCAAGTAGATAAATAGATACCACCACAGTGGGAAGGTAATGGCATTCCGTGTCTAGTCACGCTGGTCACGTGACCACGGAAGCTGTTTATGGACAAACGCTGGCTCCACGACTTGGAGACTGGGATGAGCACTGTGCCCTAGAGTTGGACACAACTGGACTAAATGTCAAGGGGAACCTTTACCTTCACCTTTAGAAGCTCACCTAATGGGATATTTCTTTTTGTCAGTTTTCCAGATTTGTTGAATTACAGTTCTTGGCATCCTAAGCCAACAAGGTTATTGGGGCCTGTGTGGAGTAACATTTACAGTTATGGACAGGGACTATAGATATCCAGGTGCAAAGTTCCAACTGATCCATGAAACTCACTGGGTAGATCTGGAAGTTGAGTCATGGTAACTGGATGTCTTATTAGGCTGAAATGTTTCACTACTCATCCAAGTAGCTCCTTCAGTCCGAGGAGAGTTGTTAGGAGACCCGTGGTTGCACTTCCACCTGGTCTGAATAGGATTGTTAGATGGACAAAGGACTGGGGGTGAGTGAAAATCTCACTTATGCAGTCCTTCTCCACCCATTGTCATGGGTCACTAACAACAGTGGTCTTTCTGGTGTGTGGTCCTGATCGTCTGGGGATGGATGAAAGGAGACCGATTGTATCTAAGGCCTCCACCCCTGTTATGTGAGAGGTTTTTCTAATTCTTTTTTAAAATTTTGAAAACAATAACAAATACAAAATACTTACTAATGCAATCTAAACACAGTGCACACTCCATACCCATGGGACCCTTTGGAATAATACTTTTAATACAAACCTCCTTTCCAAAATTGTATTGATTGTTGTTTAGAGGCTTCCCCTTTCCTTTCACTAATACAAATTCAACAAATCTACCCCAAATAGCATAAAAATGTTTGAACTTATTTCCCCTCTTTTCATCTTAATTTCAGTAGTCAATCTGCCATTTAATGCAATATCCCATACTTCTTTATACCAATCTTCTAATTTAATATCATTTTTAGCTTTCCAGAATCTAGCTATTAATATTCTAGCACTTGCCATAAAATTGGAAATAAATTCCTCTGAGCAATAATCAAGTTCTATTTTATCAGAAATTGACAACAAAGTAATTCTAGAATTGACTTCAACATCTTTTCCAAATATATCGCATATTTCCTTAAAAATCAGTTTCCAAAATATCTGAATCCATGTACACTCCCACCATACATCATAATATATGCCAATTTCTTCATCACATTTCCAACAGGCCTTAAAATAGTCTGAATTTATTATATTCAATTTCAACGGAGTCATATACCACCTTAAACTAATTTTTTAAAAATCATTTTCTAATTCTTAATAAGAAAAGGATTTATTATTAGTATTTTTGAAGTCCAGTTACCATGACTCAGCTTCTAGATAACCTCACCAGAATGACTGAGAAACTTCACAGATATATTACTCACTGGGTAGACTTTTACAATATGTATTGTTTGTTTTTGCAGGGATATTAAAGTGAAAACAGGAGAGTGGTTTTTTAACATGCGAGCAAAGAAATTCCCGGCTGAAGGTAGCTATTAAAAGCACCAGAAACTGCAATGTTGAATGCAAGATAAACTGTTAACATATTACTTTCCTTTAATTTTTTTGCTGTTTCAGCAAGATATATGTATAATCTAAAATAAACAATGGATTATCTAATGAATAAATATGCATACATATGGTTGCAATATTCAGCTTGTTTTAGTTAGCAATTGAGGAGGAGATAGGTAGTGCTTTAACCAAGTACAATGTACTCTTCCTTCCCTGTATGTAGTTAGTATAATAACTACTGATACTCTTTTGCTTTAGAGAAAAATGGCTACTGCTTATGTCATTTTCATTGTTCTGGTAGATACAACAAATTATCATAGAATTATAGAAGTTAGAAGGGGCCTACAAGGCCATCAAGTCCAACCCCCTGCTCAATGCAGGAATACAATCAAAGCATATCTGCCAGGTGATTACAGTGGTGCCTCGCTTAACGGCGATAATCAGTTCTAGGAAAATCGCAGTTAAGCGAAAACACCATAAAGCGAAAATAAAAAGCCCATTGAAATGCATTGAAAACCTTTCAATGTGTTCCAGTGGGCTTAAAACTCAGTGTCCAGTGAAGATCCTCCAAACGGCGGCCATTTTCGCTACCTGTATAGCGAGGAATCCATCCCTAAACACAGCGGGGAGCCATTTTATTTACCCAGCGGCCATTTTGAAACCGCCAAGCAGCTGTTTAAAAACATCGTCTTGTGAAGAATCAGTTCCTGAAGCAGGGAACCGATCATCGCAAAGCAAAATTCCCCCATTTAGACCATTGTTTTGCGATCGCAATTGTGATCGCAAAAAGAGCATCGTAATGCAGATTCGTTGTAATGCGGGGCAATCATAAAGCGTTTTTCTTGAATGCCTCCAGTGTTGCAGCACTCACCAACTCCTGAGATAACTGGTTCCACTGTCGTACTGCTCTAACAGTTAGGAAGATTTTCCTGATATTCAACCGAAATCTGGCTTCCTTTAACTTAACCCCATTGTTGTGCATCCTGCACTCCGGGATGACCAGGAACAGATCTTGCCCCTCCTCTGTACAACAGCCTTTTAGATATTTAAAAAGTGCTGTCATATCACCCCTCAGTCGTCTTTCCTCAAGGCTAAACATGCCCATTTCTTTCAGCCTTTCCTCATAAGGCTTGGTTTCCAGTCCCCTGATCATCCTCATCACCACCCCCCTGAACTTATTCCAATTTGTTAACATTCTTCTTGAAGTGTGGTGTCCAGAACTGGACACAATACTCAAAGTGAGGCCTAAGCAGTGCTGAATAGAGGGGGACTAGCATCTTGCAGGATTTGGAAACTATACTTCAATTAATGCAGCCAAAAATAGAATTTGCC